CAACCCCAGTGCAAACCACAACACAATACACAAGCCCTCTGGCTGCAACAGAATATTGTCCCTATGCTGGGTCTGAACATAAAAACCCACTCCGTGGCTGAACCAGCATGCTGCCCCCCATAATAGGCCTTACATCCCTGTAGGCTGGAGGCATCTAGTTTGCAAGACTCAGGCCTGTCCTGTCAGCCAGGCAGTCCCCTGTAGCTTCCCTGTCCTGGAGCTCCTTCTCCTGCAGCTTGCAGACCCATAGTTCCTGCCCTAGCTCAGGCCCGGGCTCATAGCTCTCTCAGGATCTGCCCATTTCTGGGCTGGTGTCTTCCTAGCCCTGGCCCAGCTGACTCTCACTCCTCCTAATGGGCTGCCTGTTGCTGCCCTGACTCCTATCTCTGTGGCTTTATTGCTTCAATAGACTTTATCCTGCTGTGCAACTATTGCCTATTCAAGACATTTCCTCCAACCCTCAAATCCGAGTAGATTCTTCTCCATCCCATACTTGGTCACAAACACTCTTGAACTACTGCCCTGAACAGGATATCAAGGTCTCACACCTGACTTAATCTGCTGCATTGAGCGAGGGGAAGTGGAGCTCCGTGTTTCTGATGAGGAGGACCATGGGGAAAGCTCAAGGTCTGAAGACCTCTTGCCAGGTGAGTTGCTGCAGTCCCTTCCACCTGACTCTGCTCTTATAAGTGCTCAAAACCAAGCCGGAGGTAGGGAGTGACCTGGAAACCATAGACTTACCCTGTGCTGCCATTCAAGGGTGCTCACCTGCAGTTGCTTCTGCTGTAATGTTTCCAGGCAGATGTTACTTCCACTCACTGAAATCAATGATGGGAAGACAAGTAACTGTTTCCTTTTTCTCCTTTTAATTAGCTTGTTATTGGACAATGAAGCTTACTGTCTTGATTTTTAGGGACAGATTGGTTCCCCTGGGATAAGATTATCTTTATTTTCTATTTTCACTCAGCAATGCAAAAGTTGATTCCCCCGCCCAGAGTAGCCATAACACCCTCTACCGGGGCATGATAGGATGTGTGATCCCCCATGGAAATTAGCATGTCTGGCTGAAGCTCTCTGTAGCCATTTTTGTTGGACAGAAGGCAGGCTGGGCTCCCCCTGGATTTTTGTCTATCTAGGTAAACCTGGAAACCAGGAAGGGTTTAATCATGATCTCAGCTTGCGTGAAATGGGTCCATGGGGTGGGTAGGATTCACAAGCTTTCGTGTTGAGTGGGGAAAGTGGGTCCCTTATGGTTTGCACCAGAATCTCCCTCTGTGTCATTTTTGGGGCCCTGAGTGTCACAAACCCTCAGTCTCAGCATGGAGTCCATGTGCAGGTTGGTGCCCAGGCCTTTCCCCTGTTGCAGATTCCTGTGACCTGGAGGACAGCTGGGAAACATCAGAAGAGGAAAGCTCCACGGGCTCATTGCCTGCATCAGCCCCTTCCCTGGAAGCAGGTAGGGAGCAACGGCCCCCCCCCCGCTTTAGAAGGGAGAGCCCCAGCTCTCAATCCTCCCCTCCCAGACCATTTCTTGGAGGAACGAGGGATTCAATATTTTGGCTTGTTCTAACAAGCAGAAACAGCGCTTCTCTGTGCCTCCGAAGTATCTAGTCCTAGGTGAGGGCGTGCTCACCAAATATTCATGTCCACTGTCAACTTCCTGATCTCCACCGTAAGGCTGTTCACACTTGTCCCTGGATGCTGCTCTCAGGATAGCCAGACATCAAGTGTGAGCACTGGAGATCAGCCCTGAAAAGCCTCACTAATGCACTTTCGATACTGGAGCAGATCGGCCCAGTTAGGTGGAGGCCTCAGCATCTCCTACTGGACCCGTCAGTGCTGTGGGATAGAGAAGCCCTTTGAGAGCCAAATTCTTCCTTTAAGCAGATGTTTCTGATCTCATGCTCAGCCTCTTAGTGCATGTAGTCATTCAGCTAGTGTCTTAATGCACGTCCCCCATGCACTCCTCCCACAAGGGTCCAAGGTGATGGGGCTCAGAGCAGCGACACAAGTCCTGAGAAAAAGCCTCTGAAATGCACCAAGTTGCAGAACATTAGGATGGCACATGGCCTGTCCCGTCCCCCAACCCCAGCACTTGGGGTGCTAGAAAGAAGAGCTTACTTTCTCAAGTAACTGCAGGCACCAAGCTCCAGCCCTAATCTGAGGTCCAGCACAACTCAGGGAACAGTAGTTTATGCCCTTAAGTGGGCCCTGGCACAAAATCTGCAAGTTTTTTT